ACATGGTGAATTCAGTAAACGCTGCAGCACGAGTACTGAAGCAGGAACAGGAAAATATCACATCTCTTCCTGTTCAGCTCTCTGCATTGGCTTCCCCCGTAAAATTCAGAATAGAAGTTTTAAATCTCCTCCCCCCTGTACCTACAAAGCTTCTTCATGGTCAAGTGCCGCCTTCATATTCTTACAAGAGCTCAAAGCTTTAACCGCCCTCTAGAACACTGTGCTCTCTGAATGCAGGACACCTTGTGGTCCTATAGTCATCTAGAAAGCAGAAACAGGAGCCAGAGCCTTCAGTTAGCCTAAGCCCTCTCTGTGGAACCAGCTTCAGTTGTGGTCGGGAGCAGACACCCTCCCTCCAAACATTTAAGAGTAGGACTTAAGAACATTCGCTCTTTGATAAAAGCTTATAGTCTAGGCTGGTCGGTGAGGGTGATCTGAGTGGGAATTTCCATGATGGCACTGAGGCTGCCCTCTCCTTCCTCTCCCTCTCTTTAATGCACGCCAATTATGTCCGCATTAATGGCATGTATAACTCACCTTTGCCCCGTAGTTTCTTGTACTTTGTCTCGCAGGTTCTCATGGATCCTGGTGGCGCCGCCTGCCATGGTTCCTGCTTGACTCGATTGCTAAATCACTGATATCACGTAATTATATTATTATTATTGATTGTTAATACGTACAGCATTACATATTATTTATATATATCACTGGCTCATTGTCCGCCCAATATGTTGCACCATCAATCATCTTCTTTCATCGTTCATTATCAATCAGTCACTACATTATTAGTTGTTGCTACTGTTGTTGCTGTGCACCTTGCTCTGTCTCGGTCCTTTATGTCGTTACTCTGCTCTCTCTCCTGTACCCCAACACTGGTCCGAACCGAAAGAATGAGCCACCCACCTAGAGCTGGGGGGAGTCTGTCCGAGGTTTTCTGCCTCTTAAAAGGAAGCTGTACCTGGCCCGCCGTCGCCAAGGTCTGCCATCGGTGTACTGTTGCTGTCTCTGTAAATAATGTTAAAAGGAGTTGGTCTAGACCTGCTTATTCTGAAAAAAGTGTCCTGAGATAACTTCCTGATATGAATTTGGTGGCTATACAAATACACAACTCGCAATTGAACTAGAGAGTAGGGCTTGCATGGCAGAATCGGCAATACGAACACTACAGGATACAGGGGTTACGATTCAATATATCTTGATATATTGCTGATTGAGTAAACCGACGGGTAGGATCTGCATTTGTATTTTTAGCAAGCTGTCTACGACCCTCAGTTCCAGGTCCAGGGAAAGAGATAAATATTCCGGGCGTTAAAAGAAGGGGCAGGAAACAGGAAAGATTTGTACTGTTAAACTCTTTTATTTTTAACATAAATGAGTGCTAAATGTCAACCCAAAACAATCCTAAAAATGAAGGTAAAAAACATTGAAACAAAAAAAAAAAAAACAGCAAGACAACCATAAATACGCTCTGCTTTACATCTGCGTTTGGCCTCCAACTGGCCCATCCTGCTTCCGGTCACAGTAGCTTTATAAGCAATCATCCTGTTTGCCTGACCAGTCCAGGGAAGGGTGGTACCTGGAACAGGGCACAGGACAGCAGAGGCAAAACATACACACGTACACAATCCCTGCACTGGTAATCCACATCAAATAGCCCTGCTGGGTTTACAACACTGGGCTACTAGCGCTGAAGTTTAAAAACAAGAAATTGATGTGTTTTATTGCTATACAATATTTTTTTATTTTCTTACACCTTACATGGCCCCTAAAGCATGGCTGTGGACCTCTTAGCCTGGTTGGATTTTATTTTCTTATATTTATATAATTTCCTATTTATTTTTGAACGCAAGAAGTTGATTCTGGAGCTTTACTACTCAAAAATGTACTTTCTGCCAGATATAACTAACACAAAACAATACAAAACACGATGTAGTTGGATGATGCTTGGAATAGTGTGGGATCATGGAGTGTTGTCTTCACCTCCATTGCCGTCATTGCAGTCAGTTCCCCGTTAGATTGCTTCAGTGTTCATGGTTCAGGAGTTTCTACGGAGTCCAATTATCACAGAGGTCCTCTCCTAAACAAACGGACCCGCGATTAAACCGCTAAAACTGAATAAAGCAGTTCCACCTTAAAATCACTGTTTCCACGCTGTGGACAGAAAAGACTCCAGGAGGTGGCAGCGAGCTGCTGCTAACTTAGCTCAGCTGTTTCTCTGATAATAGACAGACGTCTGATGATAAAATTCTTATCCGTTCAAATCTAGAGTTAAAAAGCACCAATTCTAAACAGTGGATGGTAAAAATGTGGCTTCAAACTGTAAAACAAAGATGACACGTATCACAAAAGCACACTGAGTCACTGGATCGCTTTAATATCTTCAATTGTTCGACAAGAAGCTTACAAAGTATCAACAATTCTGTACAAAATACTCTACAGATTTTCCCCCCTGAAAAACAACAAAACAAAATACAATCACCAAACAGTTTACACAATGCTAAATCTTAATAAATATGAAAGATACCAATTAAAATGCTTCAGACTGAAACCCTTGACAAACCTGTGTATTAAATACAACCTGCGCAGTACTATACCATATAGCACAGGCCGTTTGATTGAGTGGGATCATGTGCTATTAGACACTTCAGGAGTGTACTTGTACTCCTGCCTGAGGAGGACACGCACGAACGCATGCAGCGTACACACACACGCACACCACACACACACACACAGCAGGCGGGGGGGGGGCCACCGACACAACCTCACACGCACACACACACACACACTGCTTTCTGTATTGTCCTTTACTCCACAACAATTTGTCATAACTAGTAGTAGAGTAGTAGCCATATCGACCTAAATTATCTAAAGTAGTTCAAATTAACTCCAAGTTAACCAACTGTCATACTTGTAACAGTTTAACTCAGTTAATGTGTGCCTGTAAAGGGACACATTATCAACGTTCCTACTGACATTGTATAATCTTCATTGATC